AAGTAATAGGAAATGGGTATGGAAAAAACCTCAAAGGGATATCTAGTTCACACCCTCCCAAAGACAGAATTACTTATACTAGAAAGCATAACTCATCAGTTCTCTAGTGACTCTGCTAAACTCTAGTGACTCAGTTGAATCACTGCACTGGTTTATCCTCAGTTTGGTGCTTTGACTAATGATAAACATTATCTGAAACATCTTTCAGCTGCATGTGCAAGGCAGAATTATACAACACACACTGCAACCAGGCAATTAGGGCCTACAGTGGAACAGAGCTGAAAGTTGTTGACAGTTTTTGCTGCCCTCATATAACTTGCACTGGTAAAACAGAAAGAGGCTTTACTGCCTTATGCTGTATGCTGCTGTAACAAATGTGTCCCACTCACAGTTCAGGAGCTACAGGCTAGTTCATAACTGGCCATCGATGGGTGTGCACAGAGGGGGAAGTCACTTGCTGTTAAATATTCCCACTTAACAGCTCACCCGTGTTGCAGTTTGCTCACAGAAGACAGCAAACTTCTTACTTTATAAGTGTGTTTTCTGTGATGCTGCATCTACAGGGGAAGAGAAAGCTCTGGAATAGGCCCAAATAGGTCCAGTTCTCTTTTCCTACAATTCTGTGATTACATGGGAGAAAACACATCCTGCTATTCCTCTGTGTGTGGACAGAAAAGAGGATTATCCTGAATGACCACAGCTGCTCTTTATTTAGACATAATTTCATGATGGACTTGGACTCTGAGCCAAAGTCCACATATCTGAGCCCAAGCCACAAACTCACTCTATGGAGTAATTTTCAGAGCCAAATAGCAACAATAATGATTTTCAGAGGTAAAATCATTCAGAGACTCCAATTCAGCAGCAATGTTTTGACTATAAGTAAAGTTCAGAAAGCACAGAGTATACACCCTTGCTCCATAGTTTGAGCAGCAGGTCTATGACTATGCTAATCTCCCAACTTTCACCCTCTCACTGACCAAACATTCTACTCTCAGTTAGTTCTACTTAAGACCTCTGTGGCCATCTTGTCTATCTCCAGAAGAAATTCCTGAATTCTTAACATCTCCCATTTACTGCTGTGCATTATGTTCTTCTCTGACAGGAGGTTAAAAGAGGGAAGGGGCACACTTTCTGCTTTCAGACCTTACCTCCTGTGAAGGATGGGACAGGCTTTATCCAATCCCACACATTTGCCCTCCTGGATGTACTGCAGCAAACAAAAATGCAGGACAGACTTACATCATTTTCTAAGAAATTGAACATGCTTCTTTCAGCCAGTTCCTTTGACTCTTCAAATTTTTCTACTGCTTGTTTAACTTCTTCATCTGGTATCTTGCCAAAACGCTTCTTTTTATAATCATAATCCAAACGTCGTCCTTCTAGTTTCTTCAAATGATGCTAAATTAGACAGAACGTGTATGAGAAGGACCAAACAGGACATGCCCAAACAAACACACTCTGATTTAAGAAAATTTCAGCAATGCAAATATATGCAGAGTTAAAGAAATACAAGGCTCAGAGATTATTACAGTCCATCCCTTTGATCCAAGGCATCATCAGATAAGTCTGGGGCTGCATACACGAAGGAAATTTTAAATAAACAGCCATTTGTTAGCACTTGGGGTATTGGCTCTCTTGGTTTGCTAATCTTAGACATTCACTTCATGGACTTCACTAGCTCTGCAACACCTCAGATTCTCTGAATGAGAAGCAGGATCCAAACTGAATATGTGTGTGTTGTCATATTCTACATGCAATTCAGTTTTGTGTCTGAATTGTTTGCAATATGACAGCCAAAAGTAAAAGGTTATTTTCCCCTCATAAGCAATGCTCCAACAAATCTTGTGTTCTTCCTGTCTTTGTTAGGTATCAACTTGACACTTCTATATGATACAGCTACAAAAGCTTTTGTTGCCAAAAATCATGGGACTGACAGACTTACAGAATTGGACTCGAAGTGACAGTACAAAATGCTCATTAAAGCTAATGTCAAACAATTTCTTTTCATCAGTTCAGCAGATCCACAACTGAAACCAGTTATGTATCACAGGAGACAGCTGCAGACATCAAGACATTATTACTATCTTTTTGCTATGCTTTCCACATCCATTTATGTGTAAACAGATAAAATAACTTTCATTTCTGCATTTCATCAGGGTTTTAACTTGCTTATTACCCAAATCCATTGGACTCAACAGACTCAGACAAAGACTGCCTGGCTTTCTTTGAATTGTCACATTGTAAACAAAAACACTGGAAAACTTAACTCTAAAGGTTAAAAATGTGTTCCTCAGTGTCCTATATTTTTCCTATAGTGGCATATGGCACTTCAACACTTTGTGACACTTTTCAGATCACTTTGTGATTTGCCCTGAATAGTCTTTAACAGTTATATTTATTCTCCATCATAAACAGCTTTAAGCTGACAGAGATGGCAAGACAGGAAAATCACTAGCAGCAAATCACAGCCCACTCACATATTCAGAAACATTAATAAAAGTGCTGATTAAAATAAAACAGCAGAAAAATAAAGAGTATAATTCTCTTCACTATCCTTGTTCTGATGGTACAAGAAATATTACAAATTGAGTAAGTTAGACAAGTGAGCAACAGCCAGGCACTGATTTAGAAGTGGATTTCACTGTTTTTCTAGTTAGAGAAACTTAAATGCAGTGAAATTGATTCACCATATTGCCTTCAAGAAAAATATCTCACGAAACCCAAGTCTGATTGACTCTGATTATTCATTAGTGAAGCTTTACCCTGGAAAACTTACCCCAATCTCTTTTAAGTCTTTGTCCTGTAATAACTGTAGAGGATCAATAAAATTTTGTTTGACATTAATATCAAGCGAGTCCTTTACTTCTGCCATTTGCTTCATGCTCTCACCAGCATCCAGTAGTGCAAGGCCTATGGTAGAGAATAGGCTACTTATATCTCAAGGTATGCAAAAGCAGAAAATTTGTCCTATGGAAACAGCCATTTCAAGTAGGTATCTCTGTATCTGCCACAGGCTCTTGATGAGCAATAGATATCCCTACAGAAAATTAGAACTGGAAATCTTTTGATTTGGGTTCTACCTTTTTTCTTTTCCCCTGAAGGGCATCAGTGGAAAAAAAGAACTATTTTTCCCTACCATATTTGCATAGATCATTGCTTTAAAAAAAAAAAAAAAAGAAAAAAAAAAACACCCAAAGGTACCATTTATTTTTTTCTCCAAGAAATTTTTACCTTAGTTTACTTCTCAGAGAATAACCATTTTTATTTAAAGGTTAAAAGAAACACACTGCACCCCAAATTATTTAGGTTGGAAACTTTGAAACTAAAATGGCTGTGATAATATTAGCATCAGTAATCAAACACACCTGCAACAGAGGTGACAAATGTGCAGAAGCATCGTGTTTATTACCTCTTATCAATCATCCCCTGATCCCTGTTCTTAACTCTCCCTCTTACCTGCAGTAGCTATTAACACAGGTTATGTCCCTGAGTGATATTTTGCAATAACTTTATGCTGAAATATTCACAGAGGAGATACACAGACTCACCAAACATAGAATCATCGCCAAGCTCTCTGCCATACCGTATCATGCAGTCTCCCAGGAGTCCCTCTGTCTGGGGATAGCCTGTGGTTTTAACCTGGCCTCTGATCTTTGACATAGTGTTCAGCATTCCCAGCCTGGCTCTGTATGCTAGGAAGGACATAAAGAGAAAAAAAAAGTGCTAAAGACACTTGTAACACTAATATCTTTAAAGCAATAAATCATTTAACAAGCAAAGTCACAAAGCAAGTCACTAAGCTGGTCTGCAGATTGCTAAGTTTTTTGTTGCCAGTACTTGATACACAAAAGTTGAAACATTCCATTCAATGTGGGTCATATGAAACTGGTTTTTATGCCTAACTAAAAGAGGATCATTTCTCCAGGCAAATATACACTGGGAGTGCTTGTGGTCACCTGTTGATATTCTCCAACACTCACATTCCTTTGCAGAGTCCTACCTGTTGAGTTCCTTGACTACAAGCACTGCAGAAGGCAAATGCAGAATAGACACAAATAGACAAAGCAAATTCTTCCTGCTCTCTCTCCCTCTCTTGCTTAGCAGAACTCCAAACAGAAGCCTCACAATGATGACCTAATTAGCTTTTCTTTACCTAGAATTAATTTCCAAGTAAGAAAACAATGTTCATCAAAATCCAACACCCATTTTTCCTATCCTACCTGGATTTGGCTGAAGATACTCTGTGGATTTGGAGAGAAGCTCTGTTACAGCTTTATTAGTAATGTCAATTTTCTGAAAAAGAAAACAGAGTTAGCAAAAAGCCAATTTCTTACTAGAAAACTGATCATTCTATCAGATAATATACTATTCTAGCAGGCAATAAAATGTTATTTAAAATAAAACAAATATGGCATAAATAACCACAAAATAAATAGCCATGTCACAGTTCTGTCAGGGTTCGGAAAAAAACCCAGTTGGCAGGTAGTACTGGGGAGGAGAGATGGTTTCTATCAAAATGGTTACAGCAAAATGTGGGCTTGCCTCTCCAGCCCATCAGTCTTGACTACTGCTTACACATTCTAGACTACGAATTTCCTGCCAGTCCAATAGTTGTTTCTAAGACTGCTCTTCTCCACATGTGAAAAAGAATTAATATATCTCTCACAATCCTGGGGTCAGGGCCATTTAAAGCAGTAGTTTGCTCTGCCTTCCCATTTAATAGTTACTAAAATACTATAAAAATCACATTTCTAGTTTGTTTCCCTTTTCCTCCCTTCGGGCCTGCATATTATTTTTACCCTTATAATGCAGAGAACGGAAATAATTATTCCATAGCCAAAGAAACAGAAACCTAGAAACCTGTTTGGATGACAAATTCAAGACCTTTTTCCTCAATCTACCAACAATAAAATCTGTGACCTAGGTCTACTATGAACATTCAAAAATACACAGAAAGGCAAGTGACACATCAAAGACACATCAAAGCTGTAAATGCAGAAACTGGCAGTAACATTGTTCAATTTGCAGCAGGACTAATAAGTGGACAGCAAATATCTCAATTTCCACAGTGCATGTCCATTTCTGAAAACAGATTTAAACTATGAAACATAATTCTGTATCAACAGGAAATCTGACCCAAGTAGTTAGATTTTTATCATGAATTATATCAGATGGGAAGGTTTAGTGACATTTACAAAGGCTCACTAAAAACTGAAGAGTTCTCTCCCTGATCTCCCACACAGACAGAGGGGAAAGGTCTCTCCTGATGCTCTGCACCATTCTTTGAAGAGTTTCTCCTTTCTGTGGAGAGGTGTCAGTGGAACCTGATGCTCTGCTCAAACAGCCTTTGTGGATGTCTCTTCACCCTTGGCTGAGCTGACAAGGCTCAAGGATAAATTTGCATTTAACCTTACATATTTCTGTTTGGAAGCACATGGTGGGGTTTTCCCCTCAGGGCAAATCTACAATACCATTCTACTGCTTGAAACATGAAACATTTTTGATTCTGCAATAGCTAAATACTGAAAAAGATAATGAGATTTTCCTTACCCTTTCCATCTCTTGAAAATCCTCATCTAACTTTGTTCCTTCTGCTCCACTTATTTTTTCACTGAATAACTGTAAAAAGATAAGTATAACAAAAAAAGCATTATTATTTAATTACAGAATAAATAGCTCAGTTCACAGGAATTTACTCCAGAGAGAAAATAAGTAGCAACCATTTGAGGTTGCAACTGTGCAAGAGAAGAGTAAACAGTCTTGGAAGTCAAGGACTCATTTCAAGAGAGACAAATACCTCATACAAATTTAGAACAGGCAAACAAAAAATGATTTCTCATGCTTAGACAGTCTGTACTCTAAAGACATGACCTACACTACAGAATTCAGCAGAGAGACCAGAGTCTGGACTGCAGGTAAACCCAGAGTAACCCTTTCAAGGATGTTTCTCTGGCTCTCTACTCCTGAGTACCTTCTGGTCTTGCCAAGATGTTCTGTGATA